CAACTGTGTCCAAGCCTATGGATTTCTGTATGTATACTTTATGAAGGTTTTTAATCATAAAACTTTATTGAGAAGGAAAAATAAAGGTATCATACTCAATATCAATGTTCTCTGTAATGTACTTTTAATAAAAGAAGATATTTTATAGATATAGATCATGGAAATTATTAGTTGCACCTAGTTAAAAAGCCAACTCATGTTTGAGTGGTTAGGAAACATTTTGGTTGTATCCCAAAATAAACCTTTAGATATTAATACATTAAATATATTAAGGATTTATCTATAGTTCACTGAGTAACAAAAATAAAATTGTATCTTTTCTGGTCAATACCACTATTCAAAACCAATTATGAAAAATATTATGACTAGAAATCTACATAGAATTCTGTAATTTAAGAAAAATGTTTGCATAAAAGACCTTAGACAATATTTTAAAAATATTTTCCTGATTTGACTTTCTGATTTCTTAAAAAACATTCACATTATGTTATTCATGAAGCACCAAGGGTCCAAGCTGTTTCTTACTCCCATTATGAAAGGAATATTACATGGTTACTTTTCTCTTATGATTAAAAACAAAACAAAAGAAAGAAATAGCAAAATTAAATATTTGAAAAAAATTATAAACAGAGCTTTGAAGCAGATTCACATTAACACCACCCCAAGGAGACCCTGTCTTCTTTTTTACATAAGACATATTATGTTTTCTTAGTTCTCTCTTTATCAGAATTACAGTTACAGGCTCTACAACCATATATAACTTGAAGAATAAATTGGAAGTTAAAGAAAATTAATTCTATATCAATTAATATTTTTGCATATAAAATGTATATGCTTACAATAATTTGTACATATTTTGTAGGTTTAGTCTTAAAATTATAATAATTCTCCCTGCATGCCAAAGTGAGTATCTAAGGGAATATATTGCTTTAGGTAATAGAAATATCTAAACTTATAAAACATTATAACATAAATATTTGACCTACTCCTCAATCACTCTCTAGACAAGTGAGGAACAGCAAAGATAATATCTTCCCAGGTATTCTCACAGCCAATGTTCTACTTTATTATATATGTCAGAAATGAAATGTTATTAATTAAATTTTCTTGTAAACTCTTCTGTTCAGGAAGGCTACGCATCAGAGTATAAACTGCATTCCATTGGATAGTAAGGGAAATAAACTATTTCACCACTCCTGGTTGCTGAGAATTCTGTAAGTTGAGGCTGTGGCATAAGTTATCACAACATCTATGCTGTAGACAAACACCAAACTCCCTGTTTTGTTTTGTTTTGTAATAGCTCTGGTGATGTAGTTGTTAAGGCATTTGGCTGCTAATGAAAATGTCTGTGGTTCAAAACCACCAGCCACTCTGTGGAAGAAAGATGAGGTGTTCAGCTTCCATAAAGATTTACAGACTTGGAAACCCAGTGGGGGTTTCTATGAGTCAGAAATGATTCAGTGACAGCAAATTCCATTTTATGAGTAATATTTCTTGTGGCTAGAGTGCAGAGAATGCATGAATTAAGATCCCAATTGTGAGAGGTGTTTTTTGTTACGAATTAATGAACCTGAATCCCTGGAAAGCTGCCCACTCTCTGGGAATACTCAGGCTCCTTGAGTACTTTGCTTTGGCAAGGGTCAGAGTGGGCTCCCAAGTGACTAAAGAGTGAAGGGACTGTGGGAGGCATTAGCAGTGTC